CCTAACAACAACAACAACAACATAAACATGGTCAAAGAGTTAAAGGAAGCCGCATATGAAGAACTAAAGGAAAATATGAACTATCTCACCAAATAGAGAATATCAAATGAGAGAGCAAAGTATAAAAAGAATTTTGGAGTTTGGGATGAAAAGTCCAATAAGTGAATTGAAAAACTCACTGCAGGGACTCAGGAGAAGATACAAACCCTCTAAAGAAAGATCCTGAAAACCCAGAGATAGGTTGATTGAGATTAGCTCATCTGAGGAATAGAAAGAAAATAAAATGATTAATGAAGAGTATCAGAATCATCAAAAACAAAGGAGCCTCAACAAAATTCACAGCTGATTTCCATCAGAAAGGATGGAAACCAGAAAACAGTGAGATGAGAAGATTTCTCTGACAGAAATGGAGGCTGAGGTAACAAGGTTGGGGGAGGACCCTGACCACACCAAGGATCTGGTCAGGGTCATTGAGGAACTCTGAGAACAGTCCTTCTGCCTTTGCTAGCAGACTTGAATTATCTCAGGCAGGAGTTGAGGGCCTCAGTCTTGCTTAGAGCAGGCTGGAGGCAGTGGAGGGCAGGTCCAGGCAACTTCAGGGACTGCTGGGAGCCAGGGGACTTGGGGCTGGGGCTGTGTGTCTGCGTGAGTTTCTGTTGTCATGGGAGTCATGTTCATATGCATCTTCGTGGTGGGCTTACTGAAGGGTGTGAATGGTGAGTGTGTGTGTGACTCTGTGTGTGTGTGTGTGTGTGTGTGTGTGTGTGAGTGGGGTAAGTAGCTATGACTTTAGGAGAGTGTCTGAGTGCCTATCTGCTACGAGAGACAGTGTGAAGAGATGGGATCCATCACTGAGAACATCATTTTCTCTCTTCACACTTGTCGTTGTTGTTGTCAGGTGCCATCGAGTCGGAACCGACTCATAGCGACCCCATGCATAACAGAACAAAACAAGGTCCGATCCTGGGCCAACCTCACTACTGCTGTCATACTTGACGCCATCAATGCTGTCACCTGGCCAAACCCTCTCGTTGGGGGGTCTTCCTCTTTTTCTCTGAGCCTCCTTCTTACCAAGCATGACATCCTTCTCCAGCAACTGTTCTCTCCTGACAACATGTCCAAAGTATGAGAGACAAAACTTAGCCATCCTGGCCTCAAAGGAGCACTCTGGCTGCACTTCTTCCAAAACAGATATATTGGTTCTTTCGGAAACCCATGGCATTTTTAATATTCTCCTCCAACACCACAACTCAAAGGCATCAATTCTTCTATGATCTTCCTTATTCACTGACCAGCTTTCGCATCCATATGAGGTTATTGAAAATACCATGGCTTGGGTCAGTCACACCTTAGTCC